TGTATGTAATGTAATGTATGTAAATGTATGTAATGTAATGTATGTAAATGTATGTAATGTAATGTATGTAAATGTATGTAATGTTATGAATGTAAATGTATGTAATGTTATGTATGTATATGTGTATGTAATGTAATGTATGTAAATGTATGTAATGTAATGTATGTAAATGTATGTAATGTAATGTATGTAAATGTATGTAATGTAATGTATGTAATACATACATTACATTACATACATTTACACATACATTACATTACATAGTAAATGTGTATGTAATGTAATGTATGTAAATGTGTATGTAATGTTATGTATGTAAATGTATGTAATGTAATGTATGTAAATGTATGTAATGTAATGTATGTAAATGTATGTAATGTAATGTATGTAAATGTATGTAATGTAATGATACATTTACACATACATTACATTACATACATTTACTATGTAATGTAATGTATGTAAATGTATGTAATGTAATGTATGTAAATGTGTATGTAATTTTTGGGGCGTCTGCTGGGCGGGTCCCAGGTGTCGAAGCATTTGCTTCGGTCTCGCAGCCGGCTGCGGCGTCAGGTTCTGACGGAGAAAGAGGCGCTGGTTGCATTGAGTGGGGGAGGTCGCTCCGTGCACCCGAGTGTTGTTCACTTACGGCGCACGTATCAGACAGCAGACAGCCTGTACTTCGTGCTGCGCTACGCAGGGGCAGCGACGCTGCGGGATGTGCTGCGGAGGCTCAGCTGCGCGGGCCTCAGTTTGTCTGTGGGGGCTGCAAGACTTTGGGCGGCGGAGGCTGCGGCTGCCCTCGCTGCTATGCGGGGAAGAGGAGTACTCCATAGAGATATTCGACCTGAAAATATTGTTGTCAACCACGACGGCCACCTCACGCTCGTCGACTTCGACTCCGCTCTCTGTCTCGCCAAGGCGGAACAGCAGAAACAGCAGCAGCAGCAGCAACAACAACAACAACACCAGCGGCAGCAGAAGCAACAGCAACAGCACCAGCAGCAGCAGCAGCAGCAGCAACAGCAGCAACAGCAACAGCAGCAACAGCTTAGGGGAGGAGATACAAACTGGCACCGTGTGCAGCAGCACCAACAAATGATGTACCGGCAACACGTACAGGGGGCCGAGAGGCTAATGATGTCCGGTTCGTCTTCGGAGTTTTTCTACTCAAGCAGCAGCTGTAACAGCAGCAGTAGCAGCAGCACCAGCATCAGCCGAAGCAGCAGAAACAGGTGTGAGAGTGAGCCCGGCCGCTTACGGGACGATTTGGAGTCTCTCTGTAGTTGGCAAAGGAGCGCTGTGAAGTATCCGTATGCGGGAACGGCTGCCTACGCTCCTCCAGAATTGTTTGTTTCTCTGGACGCAGAAGGGGAGGAAGCGGCGCAGCAGCAGTTCGGCTGCGGCTTCGGAACAGACTGCTGGTCTTTGGGCTGTGTGGTGCACGAGCTGCTGCTGGGCGAACCCCCGTTCAACGGCCATTCGACTCCAGCCCTCGCCCGAGCTGTGTGTGAAGAGCAAGAGCTGCCTCTGCCTGAGCAGCTGCCTGTTGCTGCAGCAGACCTCATACGACGGCTGCTCCGCCCGAAGGAGGAGGACCGACTTGGTTCGAGGGACCTGAGCGAGCTTCTTGAACACCCGTTTTTCAACGGAATCGATTGTATGGCTCTGCACTATCATCCCCTGCCTCTAGACGTAATGCAGTATGCCTTCGCTTTTCAGGGAGCCTGGAATGCCGGTGGAGCAGCAGGAGCTGCTGCAGCTGTAGGCTGTGGGGTTGCCGCGTCTGGTGGAGACGAAACGGATACAGCAGCAGCTGCAGTGACAGCAGCAGTAGCAGCAGCAGTGTCTGCTGCTGCACTGGATGCTGAGCTCACGCCTTCTATAGGTTGCCCCTTTTCCCCGCTAAAGTCCGCAGCAGCGGATGCTGCACATGTATGCGTTTGCAGCGACAGCAGCAAGACCTGCATGTGCTGCGGAGGGGACCCTGACGCAATCCCCATCTCTCCAGGGCGGAGCGGCAGCAGCAGTAGCACAGGGGATGCTGCATTTGCCGCACTACCCGCCTCTCGCAAGTGGAAGCGGACGAGCAGCGGGTGTTTCACGGATGGTACAGGTACTCAAGAACAGCCAGTGAATGGTTTGCGGGAGGAATCTGAGGTTATGTCTTTACAGTCGGAGTCCACAGAAGAACTCCGTGGAGCCTGCCGCCGCTCTGTCACTGATGCAGTTCTCGGCTGGGGCCCTCCTTTGCGGCTTTGGCCTGTCTCCAGTGCAGACGATTCCGATGCTGAAAGTGATGGCTTCGTTCGAAAACTACCAGGAGCAGCAGCTTGGTATGGGAGCCATGCAGGTGTTGAAGGCTCTGTGCTGGCCGCAGCTGTTGCAGGGGGCAACGTGCCACCACCTGAGACCTTGCAAACATCTGCGCTAACCTCTGCAAACTTCAGAGATAGTCAATGGCGTCGAAGAGGGCCTTTCGTCGCCTCCCAAGATGCCCCGTCTTGCGTGGCTAAGTGTTTGCAGAAGGGGGAGAAGCTCCAGTACCACGGCGTCCTCCTGCGAATGAGGGGTGAGGAGGCGAGATTGCGCGCGTCTGCGCCGTGATTGGAGACGTTTTGGGGCCATATGAGTATCTTCGCACCTGCATATATTCTCACCTGTGTATAGGAACTCGGAATGCTCTTCTCGCCGTACATTGATTCGTGAATGCAGAAGAATATGCTTGCAAACTGCACCAGAGTATTTTGTTGGATAGCTCGCCTTATGTGAGTGTACGCTGACACCTTCTCAGAACACAGGAGCTTTTGTGAGCGGCTGTTTTTTCGGGTTTTCGGGAAGGGCCACAAGAGGAATTGCCAGTTACAGCCACAGCGCTGCCTTGGTGTGTTGACGGATACGGGACGATTGCTGCTCATGGACCCCAATGGCAGAACTCTTCGAGTAAAGCTCCACGCTACTCAGAAATGTAACACGGAGGGGCAGTTTATTATATATTTGAGCTCGCATAGAAAGAGTCACAAGGCCAGAGACCGCACGGGCAGACACGGAAGGGAAGTTTGTGTGTAGGTCGTGCAGAGGATACAGCAAGAGGATTTGTCTAGCTTTTAGCATACAATAGGGACATAGGAAAGTATTACATTGGGGTAGATGCTATCTTGTATTCCGGCTTGTTCAGAAAACAGTCCTCCTTGCAACGGACGGCGAAATATACACAGAAGGCAAGGACATGCTCATCTACTCCAGTGCAAAAGACAACTGTTACTTACTATTCGCGTCGGAAGAGAACACTGTATCTTTGTGGGCCCGTTCCCTTGCAGCATCTATAGAAGTAAGCTACGTTGCTCTTGCTGCCGTATTCGGGCTTGATCAGTGCACACTCGTATGCGTGGGGCTGTGTCGAAAGCTCTGCATTGCTGCTGTGAGCTCGCCTCCTTACGATGAGTGAATGTTACATGCAGAGCCTGCGGTGCAAGGGGGCGTATCTTAGGTCCCAGTCCGCCGCACCAGGACTGCAAACAAAGACGGATATGGAGGCAACTACGCCAGTAGAGCCTTCGTCGGAGGGCAAGTTTGTTTCACCCCTAGTGCCAAGAGAGCAGGACAGAGGAGCTGTATGTTCCTGTTCACCCTTGGACGAATTTGTGGGATCGCGAGGGGGGCCCTCAGGCGGGACACCCCCCGCCGAACTTGCCTTTGTCCCAACGGCTGCCACGTTCGCTGGCCGACCACATCCCGAACGCAGCAACTGCGTTTCGCATGGCCAGAAGCAACCAATGCGATGGCAACAGGAACGGTTACGTTGCCGCCGAGGTAGCGCGAGGTTAGCGTCTACGCCAGCAACTGCGCGGAAAGAAAGACTCCGGCGCCCTCAGTCCGAAGGACCCCATGAGCGTTACAGGAGCTATCGTTCAGGCACATATGACTTGAAGCTCAAAACTTGGGGAATCGTGGGAGGTTAGGCACAGTTCTTCGTGACTCGTCAAGACGGAGGGCACACAAATTAGTGTGTGCCCTCCGTCTTGATGACAAGCGGGCTCAATCTTCAAGTTGCTTCCCTCTTGTACGCAAAGTAATTCTCGCACTTTTATTGTTCCTCTTCGTCGAGGACTTCAAAAGCAAACTCTCCTGCGTCGTGTGCCTTCAGGGGTCACGTAAGGAAGTGAGATATGCTACCTTAGGATCCGCTGTGGCCACTGGTCGACGGGCAAAGAGGCTTACAGATATGAAAAGTTGCCTTTCACGCCCGGGATGGTTGTGCTTTTGTGTTTTAATATTTTCTATACTTTCGTATTTGTTAGGTTAGGAGACCGGTCGTCGGCTGGGAACAACGTGGGAATCCCATTGTTGATGCATGTCTACACGGTATAAGCAGGCAAAGGCACTCTTCGCCGGCAGCGGCGTGTGAGCAATTGCATGTTTGCTGTTGCATGTTTCCGCAGCGGAACCTTTCAGGCATTTTCTGATGTACTTTATAATATACGTACTTGCGCACTTTTTTTTGTTGATATTTAATCGTTGCTCACTGGTGTCGAATCGCTGCTGATGTTGCCGCTGTGATGAATCGTCGTCCCCTACTTCTCTAGCACAGCCTTTCCAGTGGTGACGTTTCTCCAGGAACAGTCCGGAAACAAAAGTGGACAAGCAATTCTGTGCCTTGCTTATTTAGCGTTGATTTTAGTGTTGAATTCACGGTCCCTGACTATAGAGGTTTGGGTCCACGGGCCTTGCAAATTTTAGTAAGTTCCATGCTCTCGTGCCAGCCCGTTCACGCATTGGGAAGAAACGACTGTGTTTAGAGGAGTTGACAATCATGAATCATTGCAGAGGCGTGCTAGTTGGAAGAACGCCCTTCACGCTGCGGCACCGATGCCTTTGTACACGTTTTGTGCAAACGGAGCAGGAAGATACTTACAGACGCTGTGGCTGGTGACACAACTCCATATATTCATTAATGGGTGATTCTTCGCCCAAGGCTGGAGCCGCTATGGATGAGGCGACCTTCGACTCTCTGATGCCATGAATCTATGGATGTCAGCGATTCGGTCAAACGTCGTCCTGTCGGGTTGCGTAAGCCTGTGTTTCTGGCAAACACACAAATAACATAAGCATATATGAGATGACTGCCACTTAACTCTGGAGCTAGCGATTGCATTGCCTTTGCGGATATGAATGCGCCCCATTTGCAGTTCAAACCAAGAGGCAGGGAACTCACTCACTGTACAGGAGGGAAGGAAACTACCACAGGACTCAGCATGGCACAACAAAAGCAAATAAAAAACAAAGAACTGAAAAACCAAGCTCAGCATCTCGACGGGAACACATCATGCATGAAGAGTAATGGGCCAGGAGCACGAAACCTGACCGTTCCCCAGTCATTTTGCTAAAGGGGCGTCGAACCAAGAAACGGTTGAGATGCCTCTGAGCCTCCTGAAATTGCTGGTTGAGTATCATCCTCCCGGTTAGGCATCGGGCAATATTGAGGCATACTATGGTACATTAACAGAAGTGCAGCCGAGCACCTTTGCAAAGTCACTTCGCACAACTTTGTCCTGCGCTGCGAGTCTTACGGCACCGTCACTGTATGCCCAACGGTACCGACAAAAACAATAATGCATTAGCTACGAAATTCTCAGTTTCCCCTACGGAGGTAGGGCGTGCGCTTTCTTTTTCTCGTTTTGCTATATGGCTACATGACACTTCCCATAATACGCAGCAAAGTCACTTCCTGTGCTGTCTTACCATACAGTATACTTCAACCGGAACAGTGTGTGTATGTGGCCATGCTCTGTCCACTGATGGACTTCAAGGAATATAGAGGGCTTGGCTCGCGCAGTAGGCTCATGGCTGCATTTTGCGTAGCCTGCAACCACTGCAGCTCCGATGTATCAAATACAAGCTGCCGTCATCTAGCCACGTGCAATGAGCCCAACAACACAACGTAGGGCAGCTTTTAAAATACGCAATCGCGCTTATATTACCACCCTCAAATAGCGACAGGAAGTGGACACAGCTTCTCTACAGCATTATCACCTCTGTTTAGCCAATGCGAAGAGAGAAAACGTAGCGTTCAATGACGACCACCCCGCCCCCGCACCAATGACTTACCGCAAAGCCGAGACCGCCTACCCAGGCGATGCAGGACTGCGATTGAAGACAGTAAATTTTAAACTCAGTCAATATCCTGCTTTCATTCCTAATGCCTGTAACTAAAGGATTCTTGGGGAAACACGAGCAGCAGCAGAGGCGACAGTGAGTGGCACAAGAGCAGAAGCAAACACGCCAGCTTTGGTTTGACCCTGGGCACAACGCAGCTTGTAGAGCAACCTACAATCTTCCTCTACAATCAACGACGGATATAATGCGTATTGTTCACCGTACCGCTAAAACTCCGGATACTCGTCGTGCCAGGGGCATTTGAAACCTAACGCAAATACGCCTGCGGACGCAAGCGCCAGCTTCGAACAGTCATAATACAATGGCATGAGAAGATCAGGCATGCCACCAATGTGCATATTGATCCCGCAAAGGATCCCCGGCTTCGAACAGTCATAATACAATGACATGTGGTCAGACATACCACCAATGTGCATATTGAGCCCTCCTAGGGTCCAAACAGCTAATGTCCTATATATATATATATATATATA